TCATTTCATTCTCTGAAATTCATCATGGTATCAGAGCTGAGCCTGCTCTAACGAGCTTTAGAGATGTCATCCATGGCGTCTTCAACAGCACTACCTACTCTTCCAGCCAATCTTGGTCTCTTGATTTCTAATCTCTCTTCTTTCGTCAATGTAAAGCTTGACTCAACAAATTTCATAATCTGGAAAACACAATTACAGAATATACTCAGAGCAACTGATCTTCTTGATATTCTTGATGGATCATCTTCATGTCCTTCTCCTTTTGTTCGTGATTCAACTGGAAAAGAAATACCTAATCCTGAGTTTTCTAAATGGAAGATGATTGATAATCATCTTCTCAGCTGTGTTACTGCTACTCTCTCACCATCGATTTTCACTTCGATTCTTCATCTCAAAACTAGCTCAGAGGTATGGCTAACTCTGAATAGGCGTTTTACCTCTCTTTCTAGATCTCATATCCACCAATTGAAGAATAAACTGAATTCAATTTCTAAGAAAACTGAGTCTATGGAACTCTACTTGAGTCATATCAAAGAATTGGTTGATCAGTTGCATCTTGCCTCAGCTTCGGTTGATGATAAAGATATAGTTCTCATCACGTTGAATGGATTGCCAAGTGAATACGATGCTTTTAAAACTACTATTAGAGCTCGTTCTGAAGGGATTACTATGGATGAATTATCTTCTTTACTGTGTTCTGAAGCTTTACATATTGAAGAGAAACAAAAATCTTCTTCTGAGCTTTCTCTGGCCTATGCTGCTATGAAAGATAATGTTTCTTCTTCAAAAGGTTTTTCTACATATCATCATGGCAGATCTAACTACAGAGGAGATTCTCGAGGTAATTACAGAGGGAATAGGTCTGGTGGTAGATATTCTTCTTCTTCTAGAGGAAGGTATCAGTCCAAAAATCATAATCAAATTCGATCTACTTTTGGTTCAGTTTGTCAGATTTGTGGCAAGCCAAATCACTTTGCCTTTGAGTGTTGGCATCGTATGGATCCTCATTTTCAGCAGTCAACTCAGTGTTCTCCACATCATTTTCCTGCTTCATCTGGTTCTAAAGCTTATACTACATCTACCTCTGAAGTTGCTTTCCAGGATTGTTCTCTTCAGCCTTGGTATCTTGACTCTGCTGCCACAGATCATATTACTAATGATCTGGGTAATCTGACTACCTATCAACCTTACACTGGTTCTGAGAAAGTCACTATCGCTGATGGTTCTTCTCTACCTATCCATCATACTGGTTCAGGTCTTTTACCTACTCCACATCATTCTTTCAAACTCAAAAGAGTGCTCCATGTTCCTTCTCTTTCTTCTAATCTTCTTTCCGTTCAGCAATTAGCCAAAGACAATAATTGTTCTATTACTTTTAATAATTCTGCCTTTTCTATTCAGGACAACACTACAAAAGCTACACTCCATAAAGGCTTCCATAAGCATGGTCTTTATCATTTTCCTTTGCATTCTTCACCACAAGCATTCCACAGCACCACTACTTCTCCAGATTCATTCATGCTTTGGCATCAAAGGCTCGGCCATCCCTCAGCTTCCAAGTTTCAACATCTTCATAAGTTTTTGAATGTACCTTTAGGTTCAAATAAAACTTCATTTTCTTGTATTGATTGTTCTATGTCTAAGAGTCATCGGTTGCCTTTCAAATTGTCTAATTCTTATGTAAATCAACCATTAGCTCTTATTTATAGTGATGTTTAGGGTCCCTTTCACCCTGTTGGTTCTACTTCCCTCTATAAATACTATGTGTTGTTTGTTGATGATTACTCTCGCTTTACTTGGCTTTATCCTTTGAGTTATAAAAGTGAGGTTTACTCCAAGTTCTTGGAGTTTAAATCTTTTGTTGAAAAACAATTTGGATTTCCTCTCAAAATCCTTCAACCGATGGTGGTGGAGAATTTATTAATCATCAAATGGAACATTTTATCAAAACAAATGGCATTTTGCATCAACAATCTTGCCCTCATACACCCTCTCAAAATGGTGTTGCTGTGAGGAAACACAGGCACATTACGGAAACTGTTATTGCTCTTCTCCATCAGTCTTCTTTACCACTCACCTACTGGTTTGATGCTATTGTCACTGCCACTTTTCTTATTAATAGGCTTCCTAGTGCTTCATTGTCTCATGCCTCCCCTTTTCAACTTTTATTTCACACTTCTCCGGATTATTCTTTACTTAAAGTGTTTGGTTGCCTTTGCTATCCTTGGCTTTGATTTTCTTCCACTCATAAGCTACAACCTAAATCTAGCCCTTGTGTATTTTTGGGTTATCATCCATCCATTAAAGGTTACAGGTGCTTCAATTTACAAACTGGTCACACTCTTATTTCTAGACATGTTGTTTTTCATGAAACAATTTTTCCCTTTTCTTCTACATCTCCTGCATCTCCTACATCTACTACACCCACTCAATCTACTCTCTCTTCCTTCTTTTGGTCTTCTTCTCCTAAGTCTGTTCCTTAACAGCCTCGGCATCCCATGCCTCCTTCACAGTCTCATCTGCTGCCATCACAGCCTCTGCCTCCACCTTTATCACCTTCCCAGCCTAATCAATTGTCCACACAGCCTGTTCAGTCATCTCAGTTGCCTCCCCAATTCCAGGAGCCTAGACTACCGCATCAATCTCCGCTGCTTCAGCAGTCTCAACATACACAGCAGCTTCAGTAGTCTCACCATACACAGCAGCATACACAGCAGCTTCAGCAGTCTCACCAGCCTCTTATTCCTATTAATTCTATTTCTATTCATTTACCTCTTCCTACTCCCTCTTCTACTTCTAACACTCATAGTATGCAAACCAGATCCAAGTCTAAACTTTCTTCTTCTCTTCCTTCTTCTTCTTGTTTTCTTACTTCTAGTCCTGCTTCCTCAACTGAACCTCTTTCTTACAAATCTGCTCTTACCTCTCCTGTTTGGTTTCAAGCCATGTTAGATGAATATTCTGCCTTGCAAATGCAGCACACTTGGTCCTTGGTTCCTCTTCCACCAAATAAACAAGCCATTGGGTGTAAGTGGGGTTTTAAACTTAAGAAAAATTCTGATGGTATTGTGGCTCGGCATAAAGCCCGCCTTGTTGCTAAGGGATTTCTTCAAGAACATGGCATTGATTTTCAGGACACTTTCAATCATGTTGCCAAACAGCCCACTATATGCATTCTTTTGTGTTTGGCTTTGCACTCTAACTGGTCTTTAAAGCAATTGGACATCTCCAATGCATTTCTCCATGGTCGTCTGGAAGATGAGGTCTATATGGATTAACCTCCCAGCTTTGTTGATCCTTCTCACCCACAGTTAGTTTGTAAACTTCATAAGGCTTTGTATGGCCTCAAACAGGCACCTCGGGCTTGGTATTCCACATTTTCTTCCTTTCTTATCTCTCAAGGTTTTGTCATGAGTCAATGTGACCACTCCTTGTTTGTTCACAAAACTTCTACCACTATTACCTACTTGCTCATTTATGTTGATGACATACTTCTCACTGGCAATGACTCTGTTTATATTCAATCCTTGTTAACACATATGCACAAGGCTTTCTCCATGAAAGAGTTGGGTTCCCTTTCCTATTTTCTGGGCATTTCCGCTACTTCTTTTTCCCTGGGTTTCTTTATTTCCCAACATAAATATGCTTTTGAACTGTTGGTAAAAGCTGGTATGGTGGATTGTAAACCTTGTGCCACCCCGGTCTCTAGCAAGCCTTCTTTTTCTGCAGCTGATGTTCTTCCTTGCTCTAATCCCTTTCTCTATCGCAGTATTGTTGGCGGTCTTCAATATTTGACTATTACCCAGCCTGAATTAGCTTATGCTGTGAATCAAGCTTGCCAATTTATGCATTCTCCTTCTAATGCCAATTTTTCTGCTGTCAAGCGGATTCTCCGCTATGTTAAGGGTACCTTGTCTCATGGTCTCACCTTTTCTCCTAGCTCATTTTAGTTGCAGGCCTTTACAGATTCAAATTGGGCTGGTGATCCTTTAGATCGGCGTTTTACTTCCGGCTATTGCATTTTTCTTGGGTCAAATCTCATCTCCTGGTCCTCTAAAAAGCAGGCTACTGTGTCTCGTTCGTCCACTGAAGCTGAATATCGGGCTTTGGCTCATACTGCTGCTGAGGTCACTTGGTTGCAAATGCTCTTAGCTGAGTTTGCCATTTCTCTTCCCTCTCCTCCTATCATTTGGTGTGATAATCAATCTGCTCTTTCCCTTGCTGCCAATCCAGTTTTCCATAGTCATTCTAAACATATTGAAGTGGATTACCATTTTGTTCAGGAAACTTTCCCTTGCTGCCAATCCCGTTTTCCATAGTCGATCCAAACACACTGAGGTCGATTGCCATTTTGTGCGAGAAAAGGTTGCTGCCCATCAGTTAGTTCTTCGCTATATTCCTACTTTGGATCAAATTGCAGATGTGTTCACCAAACCTCTTTCCACTACCAGGTTTCAATTTCTCACAAACAAGCTTTTGGTGTCTCCTCCACCCATTCGCTTGCTGGGGGATGATAGGATATCACACAACTCAGAGCAACCGGAGCAGAGCAAGCTGCAGCAACATCAATCCACTACAAGCAGTGCCAGCTCATCCAGTGTAACGGAATAATAACTGTATTAGTTAGTGGTTGTAACTAGCTGTAGTTAGAGTATGTTGAGTTTAGAATTAGTTAGAACTAGAGTTAGATTAGATGGTTATGAATGTATATAAATATCAATGTAATCTGTCATTGAAATAATATAATGGAAGTATAATATAAAAAATTCATTTCATTCTCTGAAATTCATCAGTTCTGTTCTGTTCGGTACTGTGATTATGGTTATTTATTTACATAATCTCAGTTTTGCTACTTAAAGGATTATTTATTCAAACTAAGCTACCTTAAATATTTTAGTGACATAACTATCCATGGTTATTTTTTGTCCATTATACTCTTGGTATAATATTTCTCACTCTGCCATGTGCTTATAGCGGTTTACCAATTTTTAGGAAATAATGCAATTCAGAAATAACTTTTGGAAAGTCTTAGATGCGGGGCTGCGGAATAGACACACACAACATTTTTATGATATTTTTATATGTTAATATCGGCCTTTTGGTCAACAAATTTTGTAATAAAAATAGAAGCTCCAATGATTATTTTGGTACCCTCACTTGAATATTACTTCCACTCGCGTTTATTAATTTGTTCAAGAATTGGCCGGAGGTAGCTTCAGTTACTGGCCATCACGATGCTTAACCCTTGGGTACGGGGAGCGGGTCGTGACATATTGTCTCCCAATTGATATTCACAATCTCAAGATTATTTGACAAATCCACCTTATTAGGCCTCTCAAATGGACTTGACCTCTGGTTCTTCATTTTCTTATTAGTTTGTATTATTATTTCATTGCAACATGGGTTATTTAAATAACAATAGTTATGCTTGATCTATTTATACTTGGTGAGTCAGATAATTTCAAAGAACACTAAATCATGCTGGACCATTACAGTGGATGTTTCTTGTGGATTTGGATATTTTACATTCTACATAGAGAAAGCTGTTGATGATCCTTTGGCTCATGGAATCGGTATCGAATTTGCTGGAGCAACTTTATGAATTATAAGTTTTGTTGTTCTATTAAGATGTTTGTTTGCCATTGGGTCAAGATTTTTGTTATTCTATTAAGATCCTTGTTTGTTGTTGGATTAATTCCTCTCGCATAACTTTGGATGTGGTTTTTCATCTTATATTTTCCGTTATTTAATTAATTAATTAATTTTTTTATTTTTTTATGCCACTCTTAGTTTTAGTTTTTGGCATATAATCTGTAAATTGGACTGAATATATTTTGTGGTTGTGGTTGTTATGGAACTTTTATACATTGAATGAATTATGTAAATGTACCACATTATATAAACACCACTACTAATAAGTAACTCAGGCTTAAGGTTTTGGATTATGTTGATAAATCCAAAGACAAATTATAGCAATGGTCCCTATAATTTATCTGTGGTTTCATTTTGGTCCCTGTACTTCTAATTGCATCAATTTTGCCCCTATAGTTTGATTTTTGACTCCATATGGTCTAATAGTTAACAGTCGTTGACTTTTTGGACGGAAACCCACGCGTGCCTTGCACACACGGGGTGAAACCGACTAATAACTTCTCAAGAACAAGGCACTGTTTGTTTGTGTACTGTTGACATGGCACAACAAAGAGATTATTTGCTTCTAGAAAATTTCTCGCTCCTCCTCGGCTTAGGCTCCATTTGGTTGAGTTTTTAATTATTATTTTTTAAATATTAAAAATTAATTTAATATAAATAAATATAAAAAAAATTAAAAATTATTTCCTACCTAAAAATAAAAAATCAGGTGAAAATAATATATATTTTTATTTTTTTACCAAACTAATTTTTAAAATTTTAATATTTTTCAAAACATAATTTTTAAAACTCAACCAAATAGAGGTGTAATGAAATAACCTGTCTATTTGCTAAAATATAGTTTTTATTGGAATTTTAGCTAAAACATAATTTATTGACTCAAAATCAACTTATAAAAATTTAACACTAAAAAAACTAATTTAATTGATACATTGTTAACTTTTTGACTTGTGCAATGTTTGGAAATTTTTTCAATTTATATATTTTTATGCAAAATAACCAATTTACCCATGAATAAGAAAAGTTCATAAGAATGAGGGATAGAGACAAAGTAGGGAAATTACAAAAAGTTGAGTTTTTCTTTTTTTATAGAAAATATCACTTCAATGTATACTCACAAAAATATTTTTAGATTAATAGCATTCATTATAAACATTAATATGCAGAATTATAAACAACATCATAATTTTATAATTAATTTTTGAAAGAATAAAATTATACACACTAATTAGTATATCAATTATACACACTAATTATAAAAATAAAAATAAAAATGTGCACTAAAAAAAAGGTAGTTGGGTAATTTAATGCTTCAAAATCATGCTATTAATCGATATACTAATTTAATGCTTCAAAATCGTGCACTAATTAGTGTGTATTTATAGCATTCATTTTAAATTTTTTTTTTTTATTAATGTTTGGTAATTTAATGCTTCAAAATCTTGCATTAAAAAAACTAAAAAAAAAAGGTAGTTTCTCTAGATCATTATAAATATGAGTGCACCATCCATTCTTACATTCTCTCCCTCTCTCAAACCTCCATTTTCTCTCTATCCTTCACCTATTCCTTCTCTGTATTACAGACATAGAAAATGTTTTCCAAAGTCTTTCCTATGTTTTTCATAGTGCTTCACTTCACTTGAGACGTTTTCAAGGAAGTGAAGTCCAAAGTATTTAACCTATTTTTCAGAGTATGTCACTTCACCTGCAAAGTTTTTGAGAAAATGAAACCCACAATGTTTCACATGGTTTTCATAATGTTATGCTTCACCAACAAAATTTTAAGGAAATTGAATTTCAAAGTGTTTAAGTTTTTTAAGGAACAACAATTAGATTTTTACTGTGCTACCTTTAACGTCCGGCTAGAATTTGCAAGTGCCACAACGGAACAAGTTGCAAATGAAAAAAAATATAATATACTCTTATGTAGGGCTTGGTTTTGTGGTCATTGCATTTACTTTTGCAATTGTAGAAGTTGTATGGCTGAAGAAAAACAAAAAGCCTATTGCATTTCTAGAAGTTTTTGGTCTTATTTCTACTTTAAGCCAGCTTATGGCATCTATTTTGGAAATAATACTTATTCTACATAAAAAAGAGTGGAGGCTTAAGTTTTCCATCTTCTCAGCTATGTTTGCCATGTCTACACTTGCTTTCAAGGTTTTCTCAAAAATGACTGTTTCGTATTTTTCAAATTGCCATTACTACAGTAAAATGAGGACGATGGAGATGGAACTAAAGAATATGAAGTCAAGGGAGAAGGTATTTCGTTGTCATGTCTGTGCTCTTCGTGACCATCCCAACCACTGGAATTCCTGTTGGCTCAATAGTGCTGATGATGATGATTAGAAGCTTTTTAACAGTGTTGGTGGTGCTCATGATCAAAAAGTTTCTATCGATCTGCCTCTTTTTCTAGTTGTCATGCTCCATACTATGAGATATGAGTGAAGAAACTCCACACCACGAAATATGAAGGAAGAAACGTATATACTTTTACGAACTCGTAGTTACTTGGATGTTGCCATGTATATGGTACTTGTAGGTTTAAAAAAAATTGTGCATTAAAAAAGAAAATGTTAGTGTGGTAATTTAATGCTTCAAAATCATGCTATTAATTGATATACTGATT